AAGAGTGTTGCGTTTGTCGGTGGTGCGCTAAAGATGCAGCGTTGCATGCGCCACGCCGCCGCGGCGCTCGGCAAAATGATTAAGTCTGCCGACAGTCTGCCTAGAGTTATCGCAAGAAGCGAGCGAAGCCTAGCTCGCCAGCCAGTTTCCCTGCTCCCTTCCTGCACTTTTCAGTGCGAGAGGTAAACGCTTCAAGGCGTGTCGCCAGGTCTGCGGGCGGCCCGCGACAGCGCCCCGCTGGACCCCCCAGCAGCCCTCGAAAGTGGCGACACTCTCGCAGGTCGCAGCCCCCCCCAAAAATGATCTTAAATCTGAATCTGCGCAATGCGTCCCTATGCTGGACCCCCGAGCAGCCTTCGAAAGTGGCAACAGTTTCACACATCACAGCCCCCCAGGGATGGCGAGGTCCAATCTGAATCTGGGTAACACGTCACTCCAGAACCCCCAGCAGCCCTTGCAAATGGCGACAGGCTCGCAGATCGCAGCCCCCCAGGGATGGCGAGGCCTCCTCTGCATCGGGGAAAGACGTCGCTCCGCTGGACCGCCCTACAGCCCTCGAAAGTGGCGGCAGGTTCGCAAATCGCAGCCCCCCAGGGATGGGCGAGGTCTTGGAAACTGGGTAAGACGTCACTCCGCTGGACCCCCCAGCAGCACCCGAAAATGGCGACACTTCCGAAGATCGCAGCCCCCCAGGGATGGCGAGGCCTAGTGTGACTCTGGGTAGGACGTCACGCCGCCGGACCCCCCAGCAGCCCTCGAAAGTGGCGACACGCTCGCAGATCGCATCCCCCCCCACGGATGGCGACACTCCGCTCCACCCCCCAGCAACCCTTGAAAGTGGCGACACTCTCGCAGGTCGCAGCCACACAGGGATGGCGAGGTCTGAATCTGGGTAGGACATCGATCCGCTACACCCCCTAGCAGCCCTCGAACGTGGCGACGGTTTGGCAAATCGCAGCCCCCCAGGGATGGCGAGGTCTCGTCTGAATATGGGTAAGACGTCACCCCGCTGGACCCCTCAGCAACCCTCGAAAGTGGCGACACGTTCGCAGATCGCAGCCCCCCAGGGATGGCGAGGCCTAATGTGACTCTGGGTAGGACGTCACTCCGCCGGACCCCCCAGCAGCCCTCGAAAGTGGCGACAGTTTGGCAAATCGCAGCCCCCCACGGATGGCGAGGTCGAATCTGAATCGGGGTAAGACGTCACTCCGCCGGACCCCCCAGCAGCCCTCGAAAGTGGCGACACGTTCGCAGATCGCAGCCCTCCCAGGGATCGCGACGTCTGATTTGAATACGAGTAGGACGTCGCTTCGCGTGACCCCCGAGCAGCCCTCGAAAGTGGCGACAGTTTGGCAAATCGCAGCCCCCCAGGGATGGCCAGGTAAGAGAAAGCTGGCACGCAGGTAGGAGCGAGGTGAGAGACAGGAGAGAAGGGGAGAGGACGGGGAGGTGTGCGACCGCAATGCTCTATTCAAAATTATCCTGAAGGACCCAAACATATGCAGTTGTGGGTACCGCAATTGTGAATATCTTCTTCGGTGAAGCTCCCTATGGGGCCACGAAGCGCTGCACTGGGTGGAGGGGAACGCATGCGGGCGGTAGAACTGGGGCCGTCGGTGGAGCTCCCTGTTGGGGCCACGAAGCGCTGTACTGGGTGGGTGAAAAAAATGCCAACTTGAGTGTGTGGTACGCACGCGGACGGTCCCACTGGGGGCTTCGGTGGAGCTCCCTATGGGGCCACGAAGCGCTATACTGGGTGGGTGAAAATGACAAATTGGGTTTCCGGGGCTCATGCGGACGGTCCCACTGGGGTCTTCGGTGGAGATTCCTACGGGGCCACGAAACGCTGTACTGGGTGGGTGAAAATGCTACACTGGGCTTCTGGGACGCATGCGGACGGTCCCACTGGGGGCTTCGGTGGAGCTCCCTGTTGGGGCCACGAAGCGCTGTACTGGGTGGGTGAAATAAATGCCAAATTGGGTTTACGGGACGCATGCGGACGGTCCCACTGGGGTCTTCGGTGGAGATGCCTATGGGGCCACAAAGCGCTGCACTGGGTGGGTGAAACTACCAAATGTGTGTGTGTGTGTGTGTGTGTGTGTGTGTGTGTGTGTGTGTGTGTGTGTGTGTGTGTGTGTGTGTGTGTGTGTGTGTGTGTGTGTGTGTGGTGTGTGTGTGTGTGTGTGTGTGTGTGTGTGTGTGTGTGTGTGTGTGTGTGTGTGTGTGTGTGTGTGTGTGTGTGTGTGTGTGTGGTGTGTGTGTGTGTGTGTGTGTGTGTGTGTGTGTTGTGTGTGTGTGTGTGTGTGTGTGTGCGTGTGCGTGTGCGTGTGCGTGTGCGTGTGCGTGTGCGTGTGCGTGTGCGTGTGCGTGTGCGTGTGCGTGTGCGTGTGCGTGTGCGTGTGCGTGTGCGTGTGCGTGTGCGTGTGCGTGTGCGTGTGCGTGTGCGTGTGCGTGTGCGTGTGCGTGTGCGTGTGCGTGTGTGTGTGTGTGTGTGTGTGTGTGTGTGTGTGTGTGTGTGTGTGTGGGACGCATGTGGGCGGTCCCACTGGAGACTTTGGTGGAGCTCCCTGTTGGGGCCACGAAACGCTGTACTGGGTGAGTGAAAATGTCAAATTGCGCGCGCGGGACGCATGCGGGCTGTCCCTCTGGGGGTTTCGGTGGAGCTCCCTATGGGGCCACGAAACGTTGTACTAGGTGGGTGAACATGCCACATTGGGTGTGCGGGACGCATGCGGACGGTCCCACTGAGGGCTTCGCATGCGCATAGACATCGACCTCGGTCCCCTGGGTCTACCTTCGGGCTCCGGAACTCTGACAAAAAATGATTACTCCCATCCTCGTGAGGGGTGCGCCGGCATGGGGCGGGGCCGCCATGCGAACCCTACCACTGGCGCCTTCGGTGGAGCTCCCTATGAGGCAACGATCCTCGTAAAGCGTGCGCCGAAATGGGGCGGGGCTGCATGCGAACCCTGCGACTGGGGCCTTCGGTGGAGCTCCTTATGGTGCCACGAACCGCGTGATGGGTGTGCCGAAATGGGCCGGGGCCGTCATGCAACCTTTACCTATTGGGCCTTAGGTGGAGCTCCCAATGGGGCCACGAAACGTGTGAGGTGTGTGCCGAAATGGGCCGGGGCCGTCATGCAACCTTTCCTTCTTGGGCCTTAGGTGGAGCTCCCAATGGGGCCACGAAACGTGTGAGGGGTGTGCCGAAATGGGGCGAGGCCGCCATGCAACTTTTCCCTCTTGGGCCTTAGGTGGAGCTCCCTGTGGGGCCACGAGGCCGCCATGCAACTTTTCCCTCTTGGGCTTTAGGTGGGAGCTCCCTATGGGGCCACGAAACGTGTGAGGGGTGTGCTAAAATGGGGCGAGGCCGCCATGACAACCTTTCCCTCTGGGGCCTTAGGTGGGAGCTCCCTATGGGGCCACGAAACGTGCGAGGGGTGTGCCGAAATGGGGCGAGGCCGCCATGCAACCTTTCCCTCTGGGGCCTTCGGTGGAGCTCCCTATGGGGCCACGAAACGTGTGAGGGGTGTGCCGAAATGGGGCGAGGCCGTCATGCGAACTTTCCCTCTGGGGCCTTAGGTGGAGCTCCCTGTGGGGCCACGAAAAGTGTGGTGTGTGTGTGTGTGTGCCGAAATCGGGCGGGGCTGGCAGCGCGGATGCTCAGGATGACTATGAAGTAGAGGTTGGTGATGATGATGATGATGATGATGATGATGATGATGATGATGATGATGATGATGATGATGATGATGCTGATGATGATGATGTGATGGGAGGAGGGAGGAGGGAGAGGAGGGAGGAGGGGGAGAAGGAGGAGGAGGAGGAGGAGTGAGTGAGTGGGTGGGACGCAGGGAACTGTCTCTTCAAAACGAGGACCCAACACCACAGGATGGTTGGGAACAAGAACCCAACACAGGAGGTCTGGGAAAAACTGCAAGAGGTTCACGGATTGAGGTCGGGTGGTTTTCAACATGTGGTGTTCGCCTTAGCGCTGCGCGCAGTCCTTGTAACAAATTACGAAAGCCTCGCGGATTGAGCACCGGTCGTTTTCGAAATGTGACTCTCGTCCTAGCATCGCGCACATTCGTCGCAAAAATGCCAGAGTTTCACACTTGGAGGGCGGTTCCTTCTCTTTCTGTGGCTTTCACCGTAACGCCGCGCACTGTCGTTTTAACAAATTGCAAAGGTTTCACTGGTTCCCGTGGTTAGCGTACCAAACATAATATTTTGGTACGATGTAGGGTTGCCAGGGCTCAGCCATTACGTTGATTCGCGGTGTTGAAGTCCAAAGGGTGGCGTTTCGGCACCACTCAGGGCCGTCAAGACGCAACAGGCACGGTTCAGGATTTTCCAACAGTTGTTTCCCAACGGGGCACTTCCTTCAGTAGGAACGAAGCCTTCACGGGTCCTATGAAGAGAGAGTTTGGAGCGTTATTTGCAACATCGCTGATGATCATTGAGTTTACACTAGTCCTCCTCCTCTCCATCCTCCTCCTCCTCCTGTTCCTCCTGCTCCTCCTCCTGCTCCTCCTCCTGCTCCTCCTGCTGGTCCTCCTCCTCCTCCTCCACCTCCTCCTCCCCCCCGGCCTTTTTGTTTCTCCTCCTCATCCTTCTCTTCCTCCTCGTCCTCCTCGTTCTCCTCCTCCTCCTCCTCCTCCCCGTTCTCCTCCTCCTCCTCCTCATCCTCATCAACATCGTCATCGTCACCGTGTCGTCAGCATCATCATCATCCTCATCATCATCAGCATCAGCATCACCCTCATCACCATCAACATCACCATCACCATCACCATCAGCATCATCATCCTCATCATCATCATCATCATCACCACCATCATCGCCCTCATCGTCAGCATCATCAGCATCATCCGCCTCCTCATCCTCCCAGGGCAGCCCGTGCTCCAGGCGTGGAACCCTCGGACGCTCTGCGTCTGAAACTCTGGGACTTTTCCCGAGGTCGGCTCCCTGGGGCCGGCAAGCATCGGCCCCGGGACCATCGGAGCTGTCCGGGGAAGGGTCGGAAGGGTCACGGCTTCTGGGGCCGCCACCACTAAGCCGTGCATCCTGCGGGACGCGTGGGCGGAAGAGCGCGCGATTGGCGACTCTTCAGAAAATCCACAACAGAGAGCGAGCACGCGGAGCACCCCGCTTCTGGGGCCGCGCCTGGAACAACAATTGCCCGAGCTTGTGCGGTATCACCGACAAGGGGATCGATCTTCGGAGCCGCCTGCAGGCGGCAGACGCGGATATGTGTGAAGGGGCCCAGGGACACACACACACAAACAAATACACACAAATCCCAGGATGCCAATTTTCTCCCCATGTTCTCTCGGTTTTTGTCTTTCCCCCCCCCCCCCGACTTCCCATATTCTCCCATATGTTCTCAGAATCGACGATGCATTGTGCCTGTGTGCTTTTCTCCCTCCTACATGTGTGCCCCCCCCCCCCCAGGGCCCGAAGATGCCCGTGTCCGCGGCGCCCCGAGGCCCCCGAAGAGATCCTTCCCCCGAGCGGCGGCTGTGGGCGACTACCTGCCAGACCACCCCAACCCAAGCCGAAGGCTCGAGCTCCGGGTTGGGGGGGGGGTATGGGCTCCATACGGCAGGTTCGTGTCGTGTCGACCCCGGCGTTGGTTCCTGACACCTCGGGGATCATTCAACCTTGAACGATCGGCCATTTCAGAAACGTCCAAATCGTTCCACATCGAACGATTCTGGGTCGCCCGCGGCGTTCAAGGTTGAACGCCACTGGCAGGGTCGCCGCCGGTCGACACGACACGAACCTGCCGTACGTGTTTTCCCAATGTTTTCCCGACCACCCCATCCACTGGACATGGACGGCACACCTGAGGCCTTCGGGTTGAGTTGGGTCGGGGCGGCTCGGTGGGCGAGGGGTGGGCCGCAGAAGACGGGCCTGGCAAGCCAGCTTGCCACTTGCCGTCGCTCGGACGTCCATGTTTCGTGCATTGTTCGGTTCCGTGCGTGTTGCTCGTCGCTCGATGATCCAGGATGTTCCCCAAGGGTCCTCCCCGAGAAAAAATACACACGTCCGAGCGATGCCAGGGCCATCTCTGCAGTAACAGACTGCACATGGCTGCCGCTTCGCGGTGGACCCCTCCGCGCGCCCACGGCCTCGGGCCGAGCGCACCCCGCGCCGAGAACGGCACCCGTGGCCTGGGAGCGATCGCGCGCCTCTCGAGGCGCAGGCGCTGACGGCACCCCACGGAGGACGGACTCGCACGCGCCAGTGCTCCACACGGCCCCGCCAACCAGCCTCGAACGTATCCCTACCCCTGAGATTAGCAAGCCAAAAGTCGACGACAATCTTAAGGACGCGCCCTCAGAAACCGGAGGCAATCCCTAAGATCGGCATCGAGATGAGGCGATGCCAATCATAGGGAGGCCCGGCTCAACAGTGGCGGTCTGCGTGCCGGGGCCTGCACGCCTGGAGTGGAGGGCGCGCACGGGAGGTCCCCCTTGCCTGGGGTCGGGGGGTGGCCAGTTTCAGGAGGGGGAAAAACACACAGACACAATTGATCGTCGACCCCCCAGAAAGTATGGGAAAATATGGGAAGTTGAGGGGAAAACAAAAACAGAAAAAATATGGGAACATATGGGGAATCTTGTTAGGGATACGTTCCAGGCTGGTGACCCGCGGCTCCCCGCCGCGGCCGAGCCAGGAGGGCGCGCTCTTCGCCACCGCTCGGACGCCCGCTTCCCGTGCACGCCTCGGGCGCCGGGCGCACCTCGGGCTCGCGGCATGGCCCCGGGGATGCCCCCCGGCGGTCCTCGCCGGAGAGAGGCGCACGGGCGCCGAGCGACGCCGAGCGCGCGCACAGCCACGGCAGCAGGCAGCAGGCAAGACGCCGGGCGCACCCCTGACTCTGCAGGAATCGCCCTCGCGTCGGGCCGGGCCCAGCGGCTGGACGGAGGCAGGGGGGAGAGGGCGGAGCAGGGTGCGGAGGGGGGAGGGCCCGACTCGAAGCCACCGTCCCCGGTGCACGCATGATGCAGGTTGGACTGGATGAGGATGGTTGGCCCTCGCGGGCAGAGCTGGTGGCATGTAGGCCGCGCGTAGCTTGAACTGCAGTCAAAAACCCTAATAAGGACGCGCGGTAAGGACGCAAGACCCTTGGAAGCCGAAGTTGGGATGTTTGGGGCGGCGGACGACGAAAACCTCAAGGACGCAAGAGCAAGGAAGAGCAAGGACGCAAGGGTACCCTGAGCAAAGTCGCGCGTCCTTATTAGGGTTTTTGACTGTGGCGCAGCCGCTGACGGGCACAAGAGCAGCTCTGGTCGCCTCTCGTGTTGGGTGGGCGAGGGGATCCTCATACTGCTCCTCCCGATCCCCCTGTTCCTCTTCCCCGTCCTCCTCCTCCTCCTTCTCCACCTCCTCCTCCTCTCCCTCCGCTTCCTCGTTCTCCTTGTTCCGATCCTCGCCAAGCTCGTCCCTCTCCTTCTTTTCATCCTCCTCTTCCTCCTTGTCCTCCTGCTCCTTCATTGGTATCATACTTCGAGGTCGGGGGTCGTAAGAAAAGAAAGGGCGAGAGAGGAGCTACAAAACGAGCAGGATGGCGAGCGTAATGCCACACATGAAGAGAATGACGACGACAAGGACGCTGACGGCGACGATGAGGCAGACGAGGAAATATGGCGAATACCAGTGACCCTAAATCAAAAAACGGCATCCCTGTATCAAAACATGGCATCTCTCGGGGACTAGTCTGTCTAGTTCCGCCGGCCTTGCTTGCACCAGCGGAGCCGCCCACGGTTTACTTCCGCCGCCTTCCGCCAAGGAAGAGATGACAACTTCTCGATCCCTGGCAGGCGAGGCCCTTTCCAGAATGTCCAATGTGTAGAGGACCGGGGGCCGCGGATCCCTCTGCGAGGGACTAAATGCGGGAGCCTCACCTGGGGCCGGAGGAACAGCAGTCGACACCCCACGTCAGGACGTGCGAAACGGAGTCTACGCGCCCTCGCGACCCATGCCAATGTCGGTCGGTCTGTCCTCCTCCTCCTCCTCCTCCTCCTCCTCCTCCTCCTCCTCCATCCTCCTGCTCACGTGCTGACATAACCCATTCGACCACCAATCCAAATCTGCCTGGCAACGGACCAGCCCACCCCCGAGCCTGTGCCCGCACAGCTCTCTGCAGGTCCGTTCTTGCCTTCGGCCTGCCTCCTCTTGCCTTTCACCTCCACCCGATCCTCTCCCTCCACCCCTTTTGTCTCTGACGACCGTTTGCCCAAATTTGCCCAATCCGCCTCCCCTGCCCTCCACAAGCGCCTCGTCTGCACTGCCCTCCCTCTGCGGACACGCCCCCCATCCACGCCTCAGAAGTGCCCGAGCTTGGCGAAGCCGCGCGCTGCCAGGCCCACCGCCAGGCACTGCCAGCCGAAGTGCACCAGCATGCCGAGGAGAAACCACTTGGTGCCCTGCGGGGTGCCTCGCCTCCTCTGCCGCCCCCCTGCCCTCACAGCCCCCCCCCGCCTCTCCCGATGGGTTGGAAACAAGACGGGCGCTTCCTTCGCCAGCTTCGGCCTCCGTGGGCCCTTGCCGAGCCCTGGGGTTAAGTCGGGCCTGTCCCCCTACGGGCCGATTTTGATTGGAAAAAAATACCCCAAAATGGTTTGAAACATACTTTTAAAAATCGTCCCCCGACTATTGTTTGACTATTTTTGAAGATTCCTCCTGTAGAAGGACAGGCCCGACTGAACCCTGGGGCCGTCAAAGACGGCCCCTGATGAAACGCTGGTCTCCCGGAAGGGGTCCAAGAGTCGAGAAGGGGGCGGCGCGGTGTCCAGCGTCGTAAGAGTACAGCCAGGTCTGCAATCGGAGCCGCTCGCCTACTTTGGAAGCACGGTGCTTCGAGATCGACACGACTTCCAACAAGTGGTCACATCAAAACACGCAAACAGCAGGATGCTGGGAGGGTCCTGCTAGGAACCCAGGTCTCTTGAGAGGGTCCTGACAGGGTCCTCCCGAGCCTCCCGAGAGGACCATAAAATCTTAAGAATCCATGGAGAGGCAATCGGGAGGCCCCGAGAGGCTTCTGAGAGACTTCTGAGAGGCTCTCCGTGAAAGGCTACCGAGAGGCTCCTCTTGAGAGGTTACTGGCAGGCTCTTCTTGCGAGGCTACTGAGAAGCTGCTGGGAGGCTCCTCTCGTACAGCTGCTGCGGCAATGCATGTCTTTGTCCATGGGGTGGGTCTTACACTGTGCCTGGGTGCGGTCTTTCACTGTCCGTGGGCCCGTGGCTGAAGTGCGGTTCCGCGGTCTCCTTCTTGTTGCATTAAGACTCATATAATTACGATGAACATTAGCATTCGTGTTAGTATTACTAATATTACTACTCGTCGTCGTAGTAGTAGTATCAGTAGCAGTAGCAGTATCAGTAGTAGTAGTAGTAGTAGTAGTAGTAGTAGTAGTAGTAGTAGTAGAGTAGTAGTAGTAGTAGTAGTAGTAGTAGTAGTAGTAGTGGTAGTGGTAGTAGTAGTAGTGGTAGTAGTAGTAGTAGTGGTAGTAGTAGTAGTAGTAGTAGTAGTAGTAGTAGTAGTAGTAGTAGTAGTAGTAGTAGTAGTAGTAGTAGTAGTAGTAGTAGTAGTAGTAGTAAGTAGTAGTAGTAATAGTAGAGTAGTAGTAGTAGTATAGTAGTAGTAGTAGTAGTAGTAGTATATTAGTAGGTAGTACTACTACTACTAAGAATAATGGTAGTTATAATACGAGTACTGGTAGTAGTAGTAGTAGTAGTAGTAGTAAGTAGTAGTAGTAGTAGTGGTAGTGGTAGTGTAGTAGTAGTAGTCGTAGTCGTCGTCGTCCGTCGTCGTCGTCGTCGTCGTCGTCGTCGTCGTCGTCGTCGTCGTCGTCGTCGTCGTTGTCGTCGTCGTCGTAGTAGTAGTAGTAGTAGTAGTAGTAGTAGTAGTAGTAGTAGTAGTAGTAGTAGTAGTGTAGTAGTAGTAGTAGTAGTAGTAGTAGTAGTAGTAGTAGTAGTAGTCGTTGTGGTGTAGTAGTAGTAGTAGTAGTAGTAGTAGTAGTAGTAGTAGTAGTAGTAGAAGTGCTAGTTGTACTAGTAGCACTAGCAGTAGCAATACTAACAGCATCCGTGCCCTTAGAATTATTAGTAAGAATCTCAGTCATACTAATACTTCTCTTCTGTATTATTGTCATCTTGTGTGCTCTCCCGCGACCTACCCTTGAGCCGCCCCGCGACCCATCCGAGACCTACCCGCGACCTACCCGCGATCCGCCGCGCGACCCGCCCCCCACCAACCCACACTGCTTAGTCCGCGGCGGGCTCGTTGCGTGCCCTGTCAGAAGATCAGCGCCCGGGGCAGGCTTCCTCGAATTTGATTTTTCGAGCCTTGCAAGCTGCCGGCGCCCTCCCCGCCTCCCTCACTCTTGTTCGCAAGTGCGGGGTCGTAGTATCGAAGAAACGTTGGTTTCGAAATGATCGGGAAAAGTGTCGGCAAAACCGCGCCCAAAGGGCATCCTATTCGATTCGCAACAAGTGGCAAGCGGGAACGCGCTTGCTCCGCGCGGCACCGCGCAGGCACCGCAAATGCAGCCGCAAGGACCCCCACGAGGGAGATCCTGCGGACCCTTTTTGCAGTTGCCAATTCAGGAAGCATCTCCTGGAAGGTCTTCGTCAGACTGGTTAAGTGAAAGCTACCAAGCCCGATTGAAGGGCCATTAACCTGGATCAGCCCAGATTAAGCCCAACGTTGAACCCAATTAAACCAAAATGGACAATATTGAATCAAACTAAACGGAATGTTACCCGATTGGGCCACTTTCCAGCCATGGAGATACCAACGCCGATGCTGAATTCAACATTGCCGAAGTGGGCGTTCACGACTGGTATACATGGGTGTTCCGCCCTCTGTTTATGGCCGGAACGTACATATCTTCTCCAATTTCTTCGTTTCATGCGGAGGCACTGGCTTTGGAGGAAAGCGCGCTGTTTGTGAGTCGGTTGTTTGTAGCAAGAGCAGAGCAGTAGTCCGCAGATGGGAGTGATGTAGTCAGCTGGCCTCCGAGGGGCCTCAGGCTTAGCGAAATGAAATGAAAGGTTCATTCTAAACTGCTAAACCCGTAAAGCGAGACGCTGTTGTGGAAACGTGTTCATTCTGGTGCGGTTTCAAGACGTCGCAAAGCTCTAGCGTCGCGTGCTCTTCGTTCACGACGTGCACCCCAGAAAGGTCTTGACCCCTTCCAAGGGACCTGTCGTGGCGAATCGCTTGTCCTGATGGTCCTAGTGACTGCCCTGCAACCGAAAGACGCCCCCGACGTAGAAGGAGTCAGATGAATCCTGGTGTCTGGGTCATCCGCGAACTGAATGCATCCTCTGGCACTTTCCTGCGCCAGCGTACGCGTGCGCTGGGGCGAGAACGACGACGGCGCGCTGCACGCCTGGCCGAATATGTACGCGGTACGGCACAGAGCTCGGCGAAGTTCGCCATGCAGCTCCCTGAACCCTGAATCTAGAACCTCTAAGGCCGACGGTCCAGCTTCGCTATGATTCGAGTGCGACGCCGAGGGCGCAGGTCACCAAAGGCGACGGCCGCGCTACGCTCCTCGAGCGACGCTGCCCTGCAGCGCCCCCGTCGACTGCACCGCAGCGCAGTGCATGGCGAGATCACGGCGGGCGCCGCTGGACCCCCTGGCTCCTCGCCTGGCCCTGGGCCAGGGCCAGGTTGGGAAGCCAGGGAGGAGGAGGAGGAGGAGGAGGAGGAGGAAGGAGGAGGAGGAGGAGGAGGAGGGGAGGAGGAGGAGTAAAAGGAGGAGGAGGAGAGGGGGGGAGGAGGGAGGGGGAAGGGAGGAGGGAGGAGGGAGGCGGGTTTGGGCCGTTGGCGGTTTGTGCGGTTTGGCCGTTATGCTGCTGGGCATCTGTCGTTTTCGGAGCAGTTTTGGGAGGATGTCTCAGGCGATTTGCTGGTTTCAGCACTCCCAGGAGGAGGAGGAGGAGGAGGAGGAGGAGGAGGAGGAGGAGAGGAGGAGGAGGAGGAGGAGGAGGAGGAGGAGGAGGGGGAGGAGGAGTAGAAGGAGGAGGAGGAGGGGGGGGAGGAGGGAGGAGGGAGGAGGGAGGAGGGAGGCTCCCAGGCCAAAAAGCTCCGGCCGTCGGCGGCCGCTCGCGCCCCGGGAACGCTCCCGGCGAGGCTCTGAGCAGACAACGGAGGCTGGAGAGCCTCCGAAAGCCGACGAGGACCTTCGAACGCCTCGAGCCTCCTCGTCCCCACAAGCCTCCTCCTGGGACGCGAGGAGATCAGGGATGTCAGCTGTGGCTTTCCCCAAGCAGGCTTCGCCTCAAGGGTCTCCAGCTCCACGCGCGCAAGAAGGCCAGCTGCGATGCATCACGACTCCTCCTGAGCCTTTCGTGGAGGGGGTCCAGGAGGTCCCCCCGATGGCCAATGGCGATCATCCTGGGTCCTCGAGATGCTCGAGGCCGCGTGAACGGGGACTTTGGCAAACCAGGACGCTGGCGCACCCGAGCAAACTGCACGGGTCGAGACCATTCTCCGTTTCTTCGTTTTCTCCCGCTGGATCCGGCAAGCCCAAGTTTGCAGTGTCCTGGCCTCCAGGGCGCTGGGATTCTCTCCGGGGAGCTGTCCAGGTGCTCTGATTTGGTGTGCTTCGGGCTGCAAAAAGCATGGCAGTGAATCAAGTTGCACTGCACTGCACTGCGGCTGCTCTGCTGTGCCATGCTTCGCTACGCCATGCTATGCCTTGCTATGCGATGCAATGCTGTACTACGCTTGGATATGACGTACGATACTTGCAATACGATGCTGAGCTATGCAACGCTGCTGCGCACTGCATTGCTATGATAGCTTCGATATGCACAATTGCACTCATCTACGCCAGAAAATGCTGTACACTGCTGCGCGTTGCCATGCTTCATGCTATACTAGGCTGCATTGCACCTGCTATGCTATTCAGTCCAATGGCATGCCGTGCTATGATACGCAACGTTTCGCAATGACGTGTAATGACATGCTGTCCGAGGCTGCGTTGCACTGCTACGGACCGTCATGCCATGCGGCGTCATGCCAAGACTTGCAACACAAGGCACACACATCTGTGATGCTGCTATGGCATGGACTGTAATGCCGTTTGGGGTACCATGATACGTTGTGGCATTCCGTGTTTTTTCTTCCCAGCCATCCTGCGGTATTGGGTCCTCGTTGTGAAGACACAGCGCCCCGCGTCTCCTCCTTCCCTCCTTCCTCCTCCCTCCTCCTCCTTCCTCCCCGCCATGCCTCTGTCACCCGCACCAGCCAACCATTTTGGCACACCCTTCACACACTTCGTGGCCCCGTAAGGAGCTCCACCGAAGGCCCCAATGGCGATGTTCGCATGCGTTTTCCCCCACACAGTACAGCGCATCGTGGCTCCATAGGGAGCTCCACCGAAGGCCCACATGCCAGCGCTCGCATGCGCCCACCGCATCCATGTTGACACACCCCTCACACGGTTCGTGGCCCCATAAGGAGCTCCACCGAAGGCCCACATGCACGCGCTCACATGCGCCCACCGCACCCATTCTTGGCACACCCCTCACACGGTTCGTGGCCCCATAAGGAGCTCCACCGAAGGCCCACATGCACGCGCTCACTTGCGGCCACCGCACCCATTCTTGGCACACCCCTCACACGGTTCGTGGCCCCATAAGGAGCTTCACCGAAGGCCCACATGCACGCGCTCACATGCGGCCACCGCACCCATTCTTGGCACACCCCTCACACGGTTCGTGGCCCCATGAGGAGCTCCACCGAAGGCCCACATACACGCGCTCGCATGCGGCCAACGCATCCATTCTTGGCACACCCACCGCACGTTTCGTGGCCCATCGGGGGTTCCACCGAAGGCCAACATGCCAACGCTCGCACGCGCCCACCGCATCCGTTCTTGGCACACCCATCACACGCACTGTGGCCTCACAGGGAGCAGCACCGAAGGCCCAGATGCATTCGTTCGCATGCGCCCACCGCACCCATGTTGGCGCACCTAAGGAGCTGCACCGAACGTCCACGTGCCAGCGCTCGCACGCGCCCCCCATGTTGGTACGAAATTATCCCCCCTCCGTCCCCCCCCCAAGGAGTGGAGTAGAAGGGAGGAGGAGGAGGAGCAGGAGGAGGAGGAGGAGGAGGTGGAGGAGGAGGAAGAGGAGAAGAAGAACAAGAGGGAAATAAGAATGTCTCAAAACTCTAAGGGCCCCTGGAGAGTCCCTGGAGGCTCCCGGACGTTCTCAGAGGTCCCGGAGGTCCCTTGGGGTCACCGACAATCCCTGGAGGTCCCCAGAGGCCCGAGGAGATCTCTGCAGAGAGGTACGGAGGAGGAAGAGGCGGAGCGCAGGGATGAGGGAAGACTTGATGGAGAGTTGGAGGAGTTCGAGGCGAGGTGGCGGAAGGAGGAGGACGAGAAGAAGGTGGAGGGAGGACCAGGAAGGAGGATGAGGGAGGAGGAGTGATCAGAGTGATGATATCAGAGTGAGGGGGCCGAACGGTCATTCGCTGTCCCTGGGTGCGTGGCGGAAGTGGGATTCCGCGATGCGTGTTGTTGTTGGTGTTGGTGTTGATGTTGCTGCTGCTGCTGCTGCTGCTGCTGCTGCTGCTGCTGCTGCTGCTGCTGTGTGTGTGTGTGTGTGTTTGTGTGTGCTTGCTTGTTTGTTTGTTTGTATGTTGCTTGTTTGATTTGTTGGTTGGTTGGTGGTTGCTGATGCTGTTGTTGGTGTTGTTGCTGGTATTATTGTTGGTGGTGTTGTTGTTGCTGCTGCTGTTGCTGCTGTTGTTGGTGGTGGTGCTATTGTTGTTGTTAGTATTGGTGTTGCTGCTGTTGTTGCTGCTATTCTTGTTATTTGGCGTCATCACCCTGCGACACGCCCCGCGACCCGCCTCGCCTCTCACCCGCAACACGCCCGCGACCCATCTGCGACTCACCCGCGACCCACCCCGCGACCCACCCGCGACACACCCGCGACCCACCCCGCGACCCATCCGCGACCTGGCGCGCGACCCACCCGCAACCCACCTGCGACCCACCCCGACCCGACCCGCGACCCATTCACATTGCTTTAACAAAAAAGTCGGCGCCTGCGGCGGGCTTCTTCAGAGCCTCGCAGACTGCCGACGCCCCCGCCGCTCCCTCACTCTAATCCGCAGCTGCGGGGTGCTACGCAAGGAGGGGGGAGGAGTTGGAGAAGGTGGAGGTGGGATGGAGGAGGGCGGAGGGGAGAACGGAGGGAGGAGTTGGAGGAGGGAGATGAAGGGATGGAGGGAGAGAAGGAGTTGGAGGAGGAAGGAGCTGCGGGGGGTGCAAGGAACTGGACGGTGCAGAAAGTGGGGGAACAAATAGGAAACGATACCGCTAACCCCCAAACCTCGCGCAGGGTGCGTTCTGACCAGAATCTCGAGGAGAATATGGCCGAGGCGTCGGGGGCACTCTCTGACGAGCAGCGGAAAGGGTACACTTTCTTCCTCTGAGAAAAAGGAAGGAGGCAGAACTCCGACGTCATGGTTTTTCGCAACGTAGACCTCTGAGTTCCCCGTGACTGGTTTCTCATCCCGTGGTCGGTGTTGACAGCCACGGGGCCCCATGAGGGTCCCTGGAGGCTGAAGACGGCCAGAAACCTCCCGCCAATAGGTCTCTGCCGCGAGAAGAAAGGGAGCGGATAGAGGCCTCCCAAATGGGGGTCGGAGGATCGCGCCGCATCGCCAATGCAGCGGCGATGCATGGGCGATGCACCGGCGGCGTCGGCGATGCACCGGCGGCGTCGGCGTGGAGAAAATCGGGCCACACATCGAGCCGCATCGCCGATGCGTCGGCGATGCGGCGCGATCTGCTCCGACCCCAGCTGCTCCGACCCCAGCCGGGAGGCCAAGCCGGGAGGCCTGCTCCGCGAAGGTCGCCATCTCCGCGTCCGGGTCCGCCACGAAGTAGACGAACAGCGGGTGCGTCGCCTGCCGGGCGCCAGGGGGCGCGCCAGGGGGCCCCAGAGACCGGCCGCGGCTCGCCGCGCCTCCTCGCCTCCTCGGGCCACCATTATGTTTGGGACTGCATTCCCGATTATAGCCGTCTCGGCTGTCAGATACTCGCGGGCCAACAGGGGAGAGGGGAGGAGGAGGAGGAGGAGGAGGAGGAGGAGGAGGAGGAGGAGGAGGAGGAGGAGGAAGAAGAGGAGGAAGAGGAGGAGCAGGAGAAGGAGGAGGAGGAGGAGGACCAGTGCAGGCCCAAGAGGCATCGACGAGATCGGAAATTGGACCCTCCCTCCAAGCTCCCTCTTCACATGTCCCTGCAAGCATGTGATCTGCACGGCAGGAGACGATCGCATGAGAATCCTCAACCGTGCCAAAACACCATTCCTGGTACTTCAACGCCGCGAACCAGCGTGACTGCTGCGTCCTGGCAGTCCTAAACATTGCCAGAACACCAGCCCTGGGACTTGAAACACCCGGAGTCCACGTGAATGTTGCCTCCTGACAATACCAACTCGCGCCAGAACACCATTCCTAGGACTTCAACCCCACGATTTCTTGAAACTGCTTCGAAGCTTTAAAACGAATGTGCGCAGAGTTACGGCGAGGGCCGCATTTTGAGAAGGAACCGGCCTTCATCCTTTAAACTCTTGCAAACTGTCCTCTCATCTCCGTATCAGGGAATATGACCCTGGCTAAACTGCTGCACCGAATTAGAATGACCTTTGTTTGGGCAACCTGCTCTTACATGGCTTGTGAAGACCTCCCCGCGCTGGGGTCTCACGACTACTAGGAGCATAGCCCCCCGCGCGCGTGTTGCGCAGCAAGACGAAGCGCTCAAAGTAGGCGGTGTTCTGGCCCGCCCGCGAAACCATGAAGCCAAGGGAAGTCTCTTCGGCTGTTGATAGGCGGCGAGCAAGGGGGGGAAATGAGAAAGAGAAGGCCTTCTCAGAAGGCGGCAGGACCTCTCAAAGCCCTCGCGCCTTCCGAGAAATTTGATGTGTCTTCGGGGAGGGCGTAGAAAACTTCTCGGAAGGCCAGGTGACTTCTGAGCCTTCTGGGAAGGCCTTCTCCTTCTCATTCCCCCCCCTCGCTCGTCGTCAAGTTGAGGCACAGGTTGGGAGGCTGAAGAGCAGAACGGATATCCGATAGACACACAGCAGCACACCCCGAGCCTGTCCCCAGAGCCGCTGCCCGCGAGGGGCGCCGGGGCGCCCCATCCTCGAGGGGGCCGCGTCCAGGCAGCCTCCCTGGGGATGCATCCCCGGAGTCCCTGCTCCTTTCTGCACGGCCCAACTTCCAGACCCCCGACGTGGTTTTTGTCGTTGCGTCGATCCCCTGAGTTCTCGACCCTCCTCCTCCTCCTCCTCCTCCTCCTCCTCCTCCTCCTCCTCCTCCTCCTCCTCCTCCTACCGTTTCTCATCCTGAGTGGGTCTTTGACGGTCGGGCCCCCAAGGGCTGACAATTTGGCAAAACCTCCCGTCATGATTTTGTTCGTTGCCCGAGGGGGTCTGGGTTTGAAGAGCGGCTCGGGAATTGGGGGTGGGAAGCCGCCCGCGAGACAGCCCGCTTGAATAACGGCAAGGGCGGAGAGGGGCGGAGGGGCGGCCACGCGAGCCTTGATGTCGTACGCGGCCTCGGCCTGGCGCACCGCCAGCCGAAAGAACGGCCTCGGGGGGGTTCGCGCCAGCCGGGGGCGGGGAGGGGGGTCCAAAGGGAGGGGGGCAGGGGGGGGGGGGGAGGGTGAGGGGGGGGAGGGGGCAAAATCCCTCGTCCTGATCCCTCCTCCTCCTCCTGCTCCCTTCGGCTACACGCAAGAGTGACCCAGGGCAAGAGTGACCTTTGGTGCGCGGACTGAGGGGGCGCAGCGCTGCCGAATCCAATCGCGCAGGCAGCCGCTGACGCAGCAAACTCGTTGATCGGAGGCACCCCGACGAGCCCGCACCAAAAGGTCACTCAGGCGAAAAGTCACTCCGGCGGGGGGGGCAAGGGGGGGAGGGAGGGGGGGGGGGGGGGGGGGGGGGGGGGGCAAATCCCTCCTCCTTTTCCCTCCTCCTCCTCCTCCTCCTCCTCCTCCTCCTCCTCCTCCTGCTCCCTCCCCAGACCCGACGTCATGATTTTTTCATGACGCGACCCCCAGAGGTCCAGACCCATTCCCTGGGACCGGTTTTTCATCCCGAGCCGTTTTTTGACGGTCCCGAGGCCCAGTAAGGGCCCTCAGAGGCCGAAAATAGCGAAAACACTCCCGTCGTGATTTTTTCATGACTCGAGGAGGTCTGGGCATCTCGCCCCCTTTTTTCGCTCTCTGACCTGGCGCACCGCCGGCCCAAGAAAAAAAGGCGACCTCTGCGGCCAGCGCAGCCGCACAGCCGCGGGGGCCAGAGCGCGACTCTCCGCTCTATAGGGGCGGCTGCTGCTCCCCGCGGGGCCCTGCGCTCCCGCTACTGGCTGCGCAAGAACCGACCCTTACGGGACGCACAGAGACACACCAATACTAGATGTCCTCCTTGGGGGCGCGCGTCCGACCCGAACATCTAGCGTGTAATTATACCCATCTTCTAGAGTATCGTCTCCCGAGCGGTGTGGCCAGAATACGCCCACCACGACGCATAGACCACCGATACGACCACCCTGCGGGTGAGGAGGAGGAGGTTGGGGGGGCAGCAGTGGGCAAGAGTGGTGATTGTTGTTCTGACGATGCCTGTGGGGCGGAGTCTCGTGAGTAGTGTGATTGCGCACGTGAGCGTGATGTGATGCGACGATGTTGGCGAAGCGCTCTCGACATTGTCGTGAAGCGCGCGCTTATCAATCGCGCGAACATCACCTCAGAAGGACTTCGGGACACCAGCGGGACACCTGCGGGACATCGCGGGCCACCGGCCGCCGGAGGAGAATCATTTGACCTGGCCGCGGCCCAGCCACAGGAGGATTTCGGGACACCAGCGGGACACCGGCGGGACACCGCGGGCCACCGGCGACCAGAGGAGAATCATTTGGTCCGGCCGCGGCCCAGCCACAGGAGGATTTCCTCTCGCCCGGCCACGCAGCTTCGTCTCGCCCGCACGCACGCCCGCACGCACGGCACGCACGACACGAACGCGAAACCAAAATCGATTTCCCGGTAGGGGGGGTCTCCGTTTCACGTCGGACTCACCCCCCAACCTCCGATAAGACGTCTCGGTGCGCGAGTCGCCCCTGGGGGGGCGACGCATACATAGTATTAGTATGTTGGGGTGACGCCGACCCTAAGCTTAGGTCGGGCATGTCCCCCAACAGGAGGATTTTGGACGAAAAATAAGAAATTGCCAAACAGATATTCCAACATGATCCAAAATTGTCAAAACATCGTCCCCATATTATGTTTGTTCCACTATTCTTAAATTTTCCACCTGTAGAGGGACAGGCCCGACTCATACGTCGGGGAACAAGGTATGCCATTGGTTGTTGCTCGAATGCGCTCCCGCGGCGCTACGGCGACTGCGGCACGCAGACTGCGGAGGCCACAGTTTCTGCACCACCGACGGCCGCCTCTCTATCTTTTTGTAGGCTTGCCGCGGAGGCCACAGTTTCTGCACCACCGACGGCCGCCTCTCTATCTTTTTGTAGGCTTGCCGTCTCACACCCATTCTCCGCCACGAGGGCTCTTGCCTCGGCCGAACCGCCTTGCTTCGCGATCAGCTACTGACACTCTTCCCTCCTCCATCCAGCTGCCCTCATCTTTCCGTCCCCCATCCCAATTCCATCCCTTCGTCCCTACACAGGCCTCCTCATCCTCATCCGCCTCGAAGCTCGCATTCCTCCCCTCCCCCTCCTCCTCCTCATCCTCGTCATCGTCCTCGGAGGCCTCCCTCAAGAGGCGATTTGGCGACTTTGCGAGGGTGTCTCGAGCGGGAGCCCGAGATTGGGACACGCCCGGGTCAACTTTTGCGAGAATGTCTCGAGTGAGAGCCACGGACTGGGACACGCCCGGTGCGCCCCAGCGCGCATCTGAGGGCCTCCTAGGGGGAGGCTTGGGGGGCCAGTTTTGTGAGCATGTCCCACGCGAAGGCGCTGATTCCCCAGACTTCCCAAATTTCCTGAAAACGGAACAAAGGCCTCTGAGGCCTTGGGGAAGCTCGGGTGGAACCGGTTTTCTGAGGGTATCCCACGCGAGAACGACGGTTTGGAATTCGTCGCCGGATTTCAAAAATTTCTCGGGAACGGAAACATACTGGAGCCTCTGAGGGCCTCCTTGGGGAGGCTCGGGGGCTAGGAGGAGGAGGAGGAGGAGGAGGAGGAGGAGGAGGAGGAGGAAGAGGAGGAGGGTAGGGAGGAGGGGGAGGAGGGGGAGGAGGGGGAGGAGG